TGGATACATGGATACATGGATATATGGATACAGGGATATAGGGATACAGGGATACAGGGATACAGGGATACAGGGATACAGGGTCAGCAGGTCCGGCCGGCGAGAGATCTCGAAGATGTGCTCGATGTACGACAGGTTGGCTGTGGAGATACAGGGATACATGGATACATGGATACAGGGATATATGGATACAGGGATACAGGGATACATGGATACAGGGATACAGGGATACAGGGTCAGCAGGTCCGGCCGGCGAGAGATCTCGAAGATGTGCTCGATGTACGACAGGTTGGCTGTGGGATACAGGGATATTGGGATATACGGATATAGGGATACATGGATATAGGGATATATGGATACAGGGATACAGGGATATATGGATACAGGGATACAGGGATACATGGATATATGGATACAGGGATATATGGATATAGGGATATAGGGATATAGGGATACAGGGATACATGGATACAGGGATACAGGGACACATGGATACAGGGATACAGGGATACAGGGATATATGGATACATGGATACAGGGATACAGGGATATATGGATACATGGATACAGGGATACAGGGATACAGGGATATAGGGATAAATGGATACAGGGATATATGGATACAGGGATACAGGGTGAGCAGGTCCGACCGGTGAGAGATCTCGAAGATGTGCTCGATGTACGACAGGTTGGCTGTGGGATACACATGGATATATGGATACAGGGATATTGGGATACATGGATACATGGATATATAGATATATGGATACAGGGATACATGGATATATAGATATATGGATACAGGGATACAGGGATATAGGGATATAGGGATACAGGGATATATGGATACAGGAATACATGGATATATGGATACAGGGATATTGGGATACAGGGATACATGGATACATGGATACAGGGATACATGGATACATGGATACAGGGATACAGGGTGAGCAGGTCCGGCCGGCGAGAGATCTCGAAGATGTGCTCGATGTACGACAGGTTGGCTGTGGGATACAGGGATATTGGGATACATGGATACAGGGATACAGGGATACAGGGATATAGGGATACAGGGATACAGGGATACAGGGTCAGCAGGTCCGGCCGGTGAGAGATCTCGAAGATGTGCTCGATGTACGACAGGTTGGCTGTGGGATACACATGGATACAGGGATATAGGGATACATGGATATATGGATACAGGGATACAGGGATACAGGGATACATGGATATATGGATACATGGATACATGGATATATGGATACAGGGATACAGGGATACAGGGATACATGGATATATGGATACATGGATACATGGATATATGGA